CCTTTCTCCTTGACCCCCATGTAACCTAACCCACAATCCTACTTTCTCCTCCTTTTGATTCCGTCTTGATAAGGGTCAATGTATATTGCTCATTGACAGAGCGCAACCCCTCCCCCTTTCTTCCCCACCCTGTCCTTTCTGTACAGTTTATAGCCCTCAATATGTACCGCCCAGTCATAGGAAGAATCCCACCAGGTTTCTGTTAGCCCTACTAAGTTGTAGGTGTTTTCTGCAAACAGGAGTGCTTGCTCCCCATGCTCCAAGCATAGGCACTTGAGCCCTGTGACTGGCACCTTTGATTGCCCCCGGCTCTGATGCCCAAAGGGCCCCTTATTGCTTACCTGTGGTGTACTGCTGGCCGCCCCATGGATTGCAGGTTCCCGATTGTTCTCCTTCAGGCTGGGCTGTCCTTGTGGGTTCCCCTCCCCACAACAAGCCTAGTTTTAAAGCCCACCATAGGAGATCCGCCAATCTAGAAGAGAACACACGCTTACCTTTGGGGGACAGGTGAAGCCCATCCCAACTGAGCATGTCCCTCGTCGTGATGTGATGCGGGTCATTGTCAAGGAAGCCGAAGCCTGCCTCGAGACACCATTGCCGAAGCCGCCAGTTGGTCTCTCTAATGCAGTTCTCGTGTCGTCTATGATTCTATGAAGCTCCTTGTGCAGCCAAAATTGTCTCTTGCCGCTCTTCTTGTGTTTCCATCATGTCAGGACAGTTTATCGTTGGGCCTCCCATACTGTGCCCTTTAGAAGCTCCCAGCCCTCTGGGCCTTTACCTTCCAGTCTGTCTTCCCGTGGCACCATGCTTTGACTTCTTGAGTCAGAGAAGATCTGCCTTTTTTAAACCTAGCATCCTAATCTGGCTGACCTCATGCTTTCCCTGTCTCAGGATCTGGAATTCTGTTGTATTCTGATCTTTTCCTCCCATCACTTCCACATCCTCCACCAATTCTTCCCTGTTGGTCAGGACAAGATCCAAGATAGATGATCCCCTAGATATATCTTCCACTTTCCAGAAGAGGAAGTTGGCCTCCACACAAATTAGGAATAGGCTTGACATTTTATGTTTGACTGCATTATTCCAGCAGATGCTGGAAAATTGAAGTCTCCCATCGGTACCGTAGCTTTCGGGATAGATTTGTCACCTCCTAGAAGAGTGCCTCATCTACCTCCTCTTCCTGATTTGGTGCCCTATAATAAATCCCAACTGTTACATCAGTGTTGAATCTTCCACCTTTCATCTTCACCAAATGCATTCTGCTGTCCTGTCTCTTTCCTCCTGAACCAGTGAACCAAGTGTATGTGTGTTTTGACATACAAGGCAACACCTTTTCTCCCAACCCTGTCCTTCTGAAACAGAATATAACCCTTGATGTTGACATAAGAGCTGTCCCACCAGGTCTTGATTTGCCATTCAGATCATAGTTCTTTTCACAGGCTGCATCTTCCAGCTCATCTTGTTTATTTCCCATGCTTATCTCATTTGCATACATGCATTGGATGTATTTTGCGTTTTGACCTACTCACTTCCCTTTTATGCCCCTTGTTGCAGTCTTGTAGCTCTCTGACCCTTTCCCACAGTTAAGTTGCTTCATCAAGTCCTTTCCCCTCTGTATTGTTTGCTCTGTTGCTGGAGGATTTTAATCGCCACCCCCTGTGGAACCTAATGTAAAGCTCTCCTTACTAGGTCAGCCAGATGATATCCAAAGATCTTTTATCTCTGTTCTCATCAGATGAATCCCACCTCCTGATAGCATTCCTCCTCCCAAGAAATCTCAGCCATGAGTTCGTTTCCAGGATGTGATGGTGTCTGCTTGGACCCTTGCCTTCCATAGGAAGAATCAGTGAGAAATACCACGTGTGCTTCAAGCTCCTTAATCCTCTTGCCAAGAGCCTCACGGGCTAGAGACTGAAGTTACACGTGAACCAGTTCAAGTGATCAAAAACTGGTTTAAACCTGTAACAGAATAGAAGTTCAGTGCACATAAACCAGTTTCAAAATGGCCAAAACTGGTTTAAGGTAAACCTGGTTGAATGTAGTATCAAACTTAACTGACTTGGGTTAAACAGTTTATGGAACTTTTCTCCCAAACCCATTCCTGGTTCAAGTTAAATCACAGTATCCCAGCATGCTTTCCAGTCATAGGCTGGGATGTGCTGTCTGCTTGAGCAGAGCAGGATTGGCCCCACCCCTCTGCTCCCTAGCCAGGGCAGTGAGGGCTGGCTGACAAGGGGCTGGGGGTGAGAAACCCATCTGGCGTAGCCTGGTCTGCTTGGTGAGGGTGGAGCAGCCTCTGACAGTCTTCCCTGATGGAGTGAAGTGGGTAGGGGTGTCAGCCAGTAGGCTGTGGGGGAGGAGTGGGGGGAGGGAGGGAGGGGAATTAAACTGCTGGCTGCTCACATGGCAGAGGGTGTGAACAGAGCAAGGCCAGATCTGACCGTGTCCCCTACCACGCAAGTGGCTGGGGGGGCAAAAAGCTAGGCAGACCCCAGCTGGGTTACCCATGCATGGGGGAGAGGGGAGACGGGGGAGTTTAATCCTGCTCCCTGGCCCTGCTTTGCTTGAGGCACTGCACTGACCGGTGTCTGGCCACACACCCTGCTCCCCCAAGGGACAAATTTTGCAAAGCTGCTTTCCCCTTCCCCCTCCAGGCACGCCCCAGCTGGGGTCCTTGCAGGCCAGGGTGGGGATTTAAAGCCCTCCCCAGTCATACTCAGCAGCCTGCCAGGGCCTGACCAGCTGCCGCCACCCCCCGCCCCACTCCCAGCTCAGCTTCCCTCCAGCATTGCAGCTGCTGCGGAAGGTAAGGGAAGGGAGGAGTCGCTCTACCACCCCCTGGCTTCTAGCCTGAACCACTGCGGGCATGTGGCTGCATTTCCAGAATCTAAAGTGTCACAACCAAATTAAGTACTGCCCATGCCACAAGCAAGAAATATATTAATCAAAAACAGTTTTAGTCTGCACTAGGTTAACTAAGAGTTAACTAACAAAAAGATAGTAACAGTTTTTTGCTGTGCATGTCAAAAAGAGATTTATAACTGCGACACTAACTAGAAATGAAACTTCTAAAAAAACGAAACTTAGCCCATGATTTATAATTGGTCAGGGCGAAAAGGGGTAGCCCTGCTACAAATCCCTAGAGATAATTGGCGATTTTAATTAAATTTATGACATGGCGAAAAACAATTGGCTATCATACAAACAAAACCCTGCTGCATTTCCCTCAAAGTCGAAGACAACTCTGTCCGCACCTTGGAGTAAATCTGACAATTTGATCGGTTGTCAGTGTCTTCCTGCCGCGACCTCCCTGGCGTACCCTTGACCCGCATGCCCAATAAGACCACCGGCCCGTATATATGTCTGCAGACCGACCGAACGACTCTAAGCTGTAACTAAGTATATCTGACCTCCGTCTTTCACCACCTTGACGGCGTGAGTAAATAATCTTGCTTTGCAACCGATAAGCGTCCGCCTAATTAATTCCACTCCATGTGTCACAAGTACCCGCCTGACGGACCCTTGACTGCCCGGGTGGGAGTCGGGGATTGCTGCTGGCCGGCTGCCCTGGGTCCCGACAAAGTGAATGTCTATTCACTTGCAAATCAGTTCAATCTATGCAGGTTAGATGAACCTGCAAAGATTGAATTAATTCAGGCTCAGGCTTTTTGAATGTCTGTACTTAGCCATACTCATCTCTAATCTGCTCAGTGTCATTCCTGGTATTATTGTTGGTGCTTACATAGATGAGTGGGAAGGGGTAAAGGATGGCTGAGCTTTGGCTGTCTTTCTGTGACGTCCTGAATTTGGGCTTCAGGCAGGCAGCACACCTCCCGGGCCTCCAAATCTGAATAACACATTGGTACATCTGTCCCCCACAGAAAAGAATCACCAACCACCACCACTCTTTCTTTTTTGTGCAGTGCTCCTGAAGTCCCTGTCCTTGAGGCCTTGTGCTTCCTGCTCTCTAGGCTGCTGCCTCTTCTGCCTCATGCCTGCAGATGTCCTCTCCTCTGTCTTTTTCTCAGCAGCTCCACCTCAGAGTGCTTGAAAGTGGTTGCTGACTTCAGTCTGCTGCTCTTTGGTTCTGCTCCTCCTTCTTTGAGTAGTCGCATGCTGCCACTTCCCCTCATTGCAGTGGCTTCTCCAGTACTAGCTTCTTGTAACTCTCGTCCAAGTTATCTTCCTGATCCCTAACGCAATGTAGCATGAACACCTGTGCTTCCAGTCTTTGAATTTTCTCCAAGGCAGACACCAGCTTACACACGGTGCAGATGAAGTGCTCCTCACCCTCTTGGAGGAACATGAACGTGGTGCATCCCATGCAAGTCACAACAGCTGAGCCAGATTCCATTTGTACCTCCTTTGTTCCCTGGATAACACTTATGCTCTATGGAGAAAAAAAGATACTGAAACTATTCTAGTAGACACTCTGAAACTACTATAGTAGAAATAATCCATGTGCTACAAGGCAAGCTTTGGCAACTAGAAGATTCCTGATGGAGGAAGGCAAGTCACATACCACAAAGTCCTTCAGAAATTCAGTGAGTGGTGAAAGGTTTACGAGATGAACAAGAAAGTGCAATGGATAAATTGGAGTACAATGATGTTTGCTCTACACAATCTGACCTCTTATGCTTAGGAGAATAAACATAACAGACTCTTGCTCTTGCTCTCCACCCAGATATCTGACCCTCCATGGCTTGGATCACAGTTGGAACTGGTACACTCATACTGGCCCATTTCTAGCTTCACTACCCAAACTTGTAAATGATGTCAACTCACTGGCTCACAGACATGAAAACATGGTGGTCTCGCTAGTAAATCTGCCCTTTGTTGTTATTGGGGAAAGCTACATTAAGAAGCAACAAAAACCTGCCTGATTTCATCTATACTCTCTTTAAAAAAAAGACTTAAAAGACTCTAGATTCATTTATGATTACTTAATAACTTAAGAGAGCAAATATCTGTCTAACAATTTTTTCCTTTCGTTATCTCAGATGGAGAGTGTATTTTGGAACCTCTGTCTTTGCCAGAAAGTCCAGGTGGTGTTGTTGCTGTAGAAAGTTCTCCATCTGCGCCTTGCATTTTTTGTGAAGAATATTATCCTTTATCAGAACAAGACCAACTTTTGAAGCACATGATTATTGAACACAAGCTTGTCATAGCGGATGTCAGGCTGGTTGCAGATTTTGAAAGGTAAAGTTTTCTTAGTTAAAAATATATTTGGGTAATGTGTAGCAACCCCCCATATGCCTGGTACATAAGTTTTCTGAAAGACTTTTGGATGTTGGGGAGCAGTTTTGTTTTTTCTGCCACATTTTTTTGTGGGTACTTTCTGTCCTATTGTTACTGTTGTTTTCAATGATAAGAGGAGGTATTTTGATTTTAACACAGGATATAGTATTTGCCATATGAGAAACAAATTGTCCAGGAGATCTCTGGCAATTCTAGCTTCTTTGGTACAGCTATTTATTTCATGCAGCACATTTGTAGTCTGTCTGTTCTTTCTATTTCTGCCTGTCTTTCCAGTACAAACCTTTGTTCCCATCGCTCGAGTTCTTTTTGTCAAAACCCTGACAATGGAGATCAAGGAGGGCTGGTTAGGACACGTGCTTTAAAACATAGGATTGCGTTCAAGAACTCATTCTTGTTTCCTATAGCAGCCTGTATTTTTCTGTATAGATTGCACTTTATATCTTACCATGCTATGACATCTTCCACAGCTGCTTCACCAACGACCCCAGCAAGATCACATTTCTCTCCTTTGCTTTACAGGGTCTTCCCTGTAGCTGGCAAGACCCAGGTGACTCTTGCATGTCAATGTATAGTCTAATCTACTGGGTTGGCTTTTGTATCTAGTGTTTTGTGGTTAGCAGGGATCTGGGATTTCCGTTTCCCCCAAAAACCAGAAATTTTCTCTTGGAAAGGAGAGAATCATCTACATTTTTCTTTAAAGGAGAGAAACCCAGGAAACCATGGGTTTCCCCTTGCAGGCTGGCAGAGTTCCAGCCTGCTAACAGGCCTCCAAACAGAGTTGATGTGTGTTTTACATTCTTTTTTGAATCTTCCCCTTCCATGTCTCTCTAGTTTCCTAAGCTATCAAGCCTCAATTTGTTCCTTTTAAGGGGACGGGGAAGGGGGAGAAACTGCTTGAAGTGTATGTTTTAAATTTATTTATTTATTTATTTATTTATTTTTATTTATATGATAGATAGATAGATAGATATATAAATAATATAGCGGCATTTCATTTTAGTTGTGGAAAATTGCAGATTTGGGGGGGGGGGGTAATCAGAGAATTTTGGATTTTTAACCGAGAAAACCAGGATCCCTAGTGATTTCAGCTTTTGGCATAATAAGTTTTCATACCAGTTGGATACTTTACGCATTAAGCCTTTTCAGTACTTAGAGTATACACTTAAGTGATCAGGCAAATTCACAGAGCACTAATTTATATCTAAATGCAGTTGAAAGGATGCAATGAAATATGCAAAGGGAAAGTCTAAGCCACCTAACACCCTAAGAATTGCATCCATTTATTTGGAAATGAAGCTTAACATTGTTAAAAACAGATATCAATACTTGCTTCTGTTTCAATGCTGCAAGCTAGTAGAGCAAGAAGGCAATGCTCTTTAAAGATAATATGAGATTCCTCATAAACAAAAGGTTCAGAACTGCTGTATACTGGAGTGCCAATTTAATTCTGATGGTGGGATTATTCTGACTAAATAGAAATGTATTTTAAAATCACCTTTTCAAGAAAGCATGTGTTCAAATTCTTTGCTGCTGATATAAATGGAAAGAAACCACATCTGATAGAAAGTGGTTGCGAGATAAAAAAATAGTGAAGTTGCAGCTCTCTGACATGCTCTATCTTGCTTCCTTTACTATCCAGTTCTGCAGAAGGTATGTTCTCCTAGCCTATGAAATTAGACTTTGTAATAGTAGAGTGAGTTTGACAGGGTTGGAGTGAACTGAGAGAGCCTGCTTTGTACAGCTAACAAAAAATATATAGTTTGTTTTAAGTATCCATAGGGTTGGGTGCACAACTAGCTACAAACCACCCACAAAGAGTCATTAATAGTTTGCTGTGAGACTAGGACAGAGGTGGGCAATTATTTTGGATGGAGGGCTGCTTACCTAGTTTTTTGACAAGCCATCGAGGGCTGCATGACAGGCAACCAGGGGCAGATAAATATTAATTTTTCTAAATTTTTTAGGGGCCCCGTGGGCCAGATAGAATGGCCTGGAGGGCCGCATCTGGCCCACGGGACACATTTTGCCCACTCCTGGACTAGGAGGATACTTCAAGTGAAGCTGTTGTGCAAAAAAAGTAAGTCCCACTCTGGGGTCTATTCACAAGGGCTTTTATGGAAGACACAGGAGATAATTATTCCACTCTGTTTGGTATAGTGAGACCTCAGCTGGAATACTGAGTCCAACTCAGTGTACCATAACATAAACAACATCTAGACAAATTGAACAGAGTCCAGAAAAGAGCGTCAAGAATGATAAGATGTTTACAAGATATGTCCTATGATGAGAAGTTGCGTGTTTTGATTTGTTTAAGCTGGAGGAAAAAAGACGACTAAAAGGGGGACATGATAAAAAAAAAAAAATTAAAAAATTCCAGTGTGTAAGTTTCTTATAAAGAAGAAGCTGATTTTTCGTCATTTCCACTAAATAGGAGAAGAAGAAATTATCTTTTCCTGCAAACAGCTTTTAGTTGAATATTAGGAAAACCTTCCTAACTACAAAGTTACTGAAACACTGGAACAGGCTGCCTCAGGAAGCCACGGAATCTCCTTCACAGCTCAGTTTCGAGACCAGATTAAATACCGTCTGAGCATAATTGATCCTGCATTAATGCAGGGGGATAGATTAGAATGATTTGTGTATCAAAAGACCCATGGAGATTTCCTCCAAGAAAACTGACCGTTCACGCTGCAGTGAAACATCTCTTGTCTCACAGTTTGTATCTTGTAACAGTAGTATCTGATTTTTTTTTTTTTATGTTGGTAGTGTTTCAAGAGAATGTAATTTCTGCTGACACCTTGATCTTGCAAACATACACATGCACTGAATTTATATCCAGGTTGCCACATTGAGTCATTTCATATATGTAAATATAAGAATATACGTAGGTAAATTTACAGGTTCATGTTTTATTTTGCAATTCTGAATTACTAGCAGGTAGGCCTCTAGGTTGATTTTTCTTTCCATAGAACTCTGGGTATGGCTGTGCTGTGCTGTACAGAGAACAGAGTTAGCTGCAGAACTGAAGCAAAACAGCTGTGCCAACACAATGGGGATTCCACTGATGCAGCTCTGCTGGCTTATACGCCCCCAGGTAGTACCGCTGCATGGCTCTGCCTTGTGCTTTGTAGACCGATCAGCTCATTCAGTTAGTGCAGGTATCCCTGTACTCTGTTGTGTAGACATGCCCTCGAAGCTCATCGGAAAACAGCTGTCTAGTTTTTGTTTCTGTTTCTACAGTATTTCCTACTTCAGTGGGGCCCAGATATCAGTTGAGATCCACTAGCCTTATTGTAATACAAGAAATAATAATAAAATCTTGGTTTCAGTTTTCTCAAGTAAAAAATTGAAACTGTTACTTTTAAAATTTGCTGGGGCTCCTCCAAACAGAGTTGATGTGTGTTTTACATTCTTTTTTGAATCTTCCCCTTCCATGTCTCTCTAGTTTCCTAAGCTATCAAGCCTCAATTTGTTCCTTTTAAGGGGATGGGGAAGGGGGAGAAACTGCTTGAAGTGTATGTTTTAAAGTTGTGACTTCTACAGCATCTTACCCTCTTGCATGGAGTTCATGTAACTCTGAGCCCAGTGTTCTGGGCATTCAAAAATATTTCTGTATCCTTTTTTTTTTTTTTCTTTCTAGTACAGATGTAATTTTACTCCCTGCTTAACACTTAGTACCTGCAGCCACAAAACAGGCCTGCCTGTTCCCCTCCTGACAGTCCCAGGGCTCAAACTACCACCTATCAGACATGCACACATGCCCCACTAACTTTGGCTGCCCCTCAGAAAATTAGTGAGTGATTTCAAAGGGCTGTCTGCCCAGCAAAGAGGCCATGAGCAGCCCCAAACTGCTGCCTTCTCACCTGCCAGGGCCTGAACACTCTCAGCTGCCCCAAAACTAAAAAACATTTAAAAAACGCATTTTGGCCACACCGACTCACCCATCCTCAGAAATATTCCTAGGGCTCCCACTGAAGCCTGGCTTACAGTCTGGGGCTTGACATGGCATGCCTTGGCAAGGGCTTTCAGCATGCCATGCCAAGCTCTGCATCTTTGCAGGCTGGAGCCCTGGCACTGGTCAGATGGGCTCTGGAGCGCATCTCAGCTTGGCATGTCTTGGGGTGAAAAACAAATTTCTAACCCTAGCGAGGGCCACAAATCCCAACTGAAGATTGCGTGATCACACCCAGACTTGGGCTGTGAACCTTGTGACTACTGAATTAACACTGAGTTCCTTAGCCACAGAACAGGCCTGTTTACTCAGCACCTGACAGACCCAGGGCTCAAACTACCACCTGCCAGATATACACGCACACCCCACCGCCCTCAGCTGTCCAAAAAAAAATTTTTTTTAATTGACAGGCCATGTGAAAGGGCCATCTGCCCAGCAAAAAGAAGCCACAAGCAGCCATAAACTCTGTCCTTTTATCTTCCAGCCTCATAGACGCATCACAAGCCCATAGGCCTGTTGCCGTACCTGCCAGGGCTTGAAATGGTCTCAGCTGCTCCAAAACTAACAAATTAAAAAAACACATTTTGGCTGCACTGACTCTTCCATCCTCTCACACATTCCCAGGGCTCCCATTGAAGCCCAGCCTACTCTCGGGGGCTTGGTGTGGCATGCCAAAACCCTGGGTTTTCGACATGCCACTTTCAAAAGGGGTTTCAGCATGCCAGGCCAAGCCTTGTATCTTTGCAAGCCGGAATCCTGGCACTGGACAGATGTGCTCTGGAGTGCATCTCAGCTTGTCATGTCTTGGGGTGAAAAAAAAAGTTCTAACCCCAGCGAGGGCCACAGAACCAGACTGAAGATCACTTTCCCATCAAGCCATGAACTCCTAATTTTTTTTATTACCAGATTAACAAATCGGGGGCCTCAGCCACTGCTCAACTTCCAGCAGACCAAGTGCTCAAACTACCACTTGCCAGACATATATACAGCCCGGTGACTGCCCCCCCCAAAATGTGATGGGCTGTGTCAAAGGGCTGTCTGCCTAGCAAAAGGAGACCACGAGCAGCAACACGCTCTGCCCTTTTATCTGCCAGCCTCATGCTCAGCCTCAGAGACGCTTTGCAAGCCCACAAGACTGCTGTATTCTTGCCTGCTAGGGCTTCTTTCTAAAGACATGACAATTTTACATTATGGATATGAACCTTGATTCAAAGATGCCTGCCTTGCCCAGGCCCAGAATAATTTCATTGTATACATGAGTTTCTTACAATATGTACCATGTAAAGAAGATGCTGCAAAACCAGCATTAAAAATTTATTTGAAATAAACCTCTTCTGGGAATTGAAGGATGGGAAGTTAATCTAAAATGTTCTTCTTCTGTAGTTTTTTTTTTAAGCATCCTCCTTCATATGCACCCCCTTATTTTATTGTAAGGTACGTTTTGTATTGGAAGAAGAGATTCACAGAGCAGCCCATCACCAACTTCTGTAGTGTGATAAGAACAAATTCAGAAGCTCCATTAGGTAAGTGTACTTATGTGCTCTCTGCTGAACAGATCCTGCCTGGTAAACTCTGTCTTATCCTATGGGCTCAATCTTGCAATATGTTAGCAGTCTGACACTAGTCCATAGTATCATACAAGTATTATTTAGCTTTAACTACATGTTTAATCTCATCCTTTTGGTAGGATTTAAATATGTGCTTGGGTGCTGTGCTGGAAAAGGATGAGTTTAAGTACATAGTTTAAGTGTTTTCCTGGATCGTGGCCAGAGTGTATAGGAACACCAAGGATCAAGCCCTGGGAGCAGTGCTTACCACATCAAGCTAAAGGGTGTGTTGTCACTGGTAGTACAAATATGATAGGGAATCTCCCAGTATTGTAGGGAAGCACAGGCTCTGTACTTCTCCTTTTTCTCCTCCCCTGCTTGTGAAGTGAACACATGACAGTAAGGCCACAGTATTGTCCTTTTGCACAATTTGTGGTAACCACTGCCCTAGAGGTATTACAAGGAAATTATAATCTTCATGCTAAGATTGGAAAGGCATGGTTGTCTGGCCCCCGTACAAAATTGCTTAGAGCTTCAGAGTGAAAACCGTGGTTCACAAGTCTGCTTCTCTGGCACAATGGAGCATTTTACTTTAAGAATCAAGCTTGTCTGTGTAAAAAAAAAAAAACAAAAAAAAAAAACAAACAAACAATTTTTTTTCTTAGAGGCTGGTCCAAAGCTGTGGAATTAATTCCCACAGGAACCAGAACTGTCAGAAATCTCACCATCTTCCTCTCCTGCTATAAAGCGCATTCATTTGACATTCTGTTCTCTAACATAAATACATAGCAGTGTGTACATTTGAAAAAAAAAAAAAAAAAAAAAGAGAGAGAATTGTTAAAATACTACCCTAATTATGCCATTCTCTCTGTAGGAGAGAGAGGGGTGGGGGGAAGAGGGAATCGCACATGGCTGATATTAATCACATTAGTGGAAGACTGGAAGTGTTTCAATACAATTGTCATGAGGACAAGGTAGATAAAAACAAACTTTTTAAAATTCAATGTAAATATTTCCTAAATAAACTCATTTAAAATGTGAAGTTATGGCAAGTGAAATTTAAGTCCTTAATTTTAATTTATTTAAAAATATTAAATTAGAAAAATTAAAGCAGTGTAAGTTTTTATTACTGAAATTCTAAAAAAAGATGAAGACACTAAATAGATGGAAGTTGCCGCTTTATCACCTAGAACCAGTTTATGGAAGTGCTAGTTTAGCTTTTGACAGTAATAGCCTCTTTTGGCTACTATCATCTCAGTATTCCTTCATTTCAGTGCTTCATCTCTTTCAAAATTAATTTTAAAAACTCATTCAAAATTAAGGAATTGATTTGGGAAAGGAAAAAGCAGGGAAGTTTTTCTGTAAGAAGAAAATGAGGTCTACCAGTTCTAAAATCTTGAAGGACATGAGGACCAGAAATAATTTACATTTATTACCCACAGATGATACTTTCTTTGTGTGATGAATTGGTTTTGATAACCCTTTTATTCTCATGCATTCAACACTTTTAACTAATACAAAAACATCCTTTTTTCTGCATTTGAATTTTAATTCCCATTTCCATCCAAATGCAGCTGGACAAAAATCTCAAATAACAGAATTAATCCTATAGTAAATGAGAACTGTATCACTCCTAATTTCTTACTGAGAGATTCATTCTTACATATTTAGTGTAAGTTTGAGTTACATTTACTACATACACTATCTATATATGTCATAGTTTATAGGCATAGATAGCTATGTCATATAGATTTAATGTAGTTTTCTGGTAACAAAGGAAAGGTATCAGATTATAGCAACCTTTGCATATCAACCTGTCTTAGAAAAATCACTAAAAGCTACAAAAGTAAAACAATTAAAATCAGTTGTTTAAGCCAAGTGTGTCTGTCTGATAACAAAGCTCCTGATTAATATTCATGATTTACATCAATATGAGGGCCTTATAAGTACCTTCAAGGTATAGTATAAAGAGGGGAAAAACCTAAAGAAAACTCTGCAAGGGCTTGGCACACTCTGGCTTTATTTACATCAGTAATAGTACAAATGGGTGCAAATCCATTTGCTAATACTATTGTACATAGTCTAAGCCAGTGTTGGCTTGGGCCCATAAATGTAATCATTTACAGCAGGATAATAAAAATCTTAGTCCTTCTAAACTGAAGACTAAAGTCATTTTTTACGTAGTTAAATATAATTTAATTAGTTCTCAGAAGCTGAAGAAAACCCAAAAGTGTAGTGTGTTATGTACCAGGACATCTGTAAAACAGCTGTAAATGTTTCCTTTGCACTTTCTCTTAACAGAGGAACAGGACAATTATTTTCTTTTATGTGACGTTTTACCAGAAGACCGATTACTAAGAGAACAGCTGCAGCAAAAGAGACTGGTAAGGAATTTTTTACAGGACTGAATACCTCAAAAACTGAAACAATATAATAGAAAGTATGTAAATGTGCGTGGCATTTAAATTAAGGAATTGTATGTTAAACTGTAGAGAAATAAATCCTGATTTAGCTTTTTTCCCCAGTTGCCATTTCAGCGCACACAAAAACCCTCATTTATAGATGCTTCTGTGGAAGAGTTTTTACCTGCAGGCTGTTTGTCAGTTTTCCACACCAGTGGAAAATAAGCCCAGTTAAAAAAAAAAAAAAAAAAAAAAAAAAAAAAAAAGCTGAATTTGCTGAATAATTCTTTTCTTGCAAGAATTTGCTTTGCATTAGCACATTTTTTTTTTCCAGAGTGTAATAATACAACCAAGCATGTGGTTGAAAAAATGGAAACACAAGCTTCTCTATCATTTTGAGGGCTTATAAAGACCAAATGCTCCTGCCAAGCCCCAGATCGAGTAGCTGGGGCTGGCAGATGCAAGGGGGGCAATCCTCCTGCTAGCTGAACTAGTACTCTACGGCCTGAATTAGCACTCTACACTCCACTGTCAGATGAGAGTTTAAGGAGAAATGGACATCAGTAAATTATTTGGTCCTAAGTATGCAACCCTTGTTTTTGTCCATATCTCCCTT